CCCCCCCCAAACTATTTACGAGGAATAAGAATTTAAGCCCTCTATCATCTTCGGAAGGATTAAGTGATAATTCGCCGCAAACAGTGTAAACAAAACAATATGAGGGTAGAGGGCTTCGTGAGAGCAACGAAAGGGCGCATGAGCACCAATTCTCAAAGTTATTAGGCGCTAAACGTTGTGGTTTTAAGCATGACAAGCATGACTACAATATTATCATCTTCGAATAAGACACTTCGTATAATCTCGATCAAACTTCGCCCGCCCTCGGCGGGCTCGTTTGATCCTACAATTATGTTTGGGGTACGTGACTACCAATCCAAATTCTAATATTTGTAGCTCTTTCAGTTGCGCGCCTTTACAAAACATCCCCTATAGTATTCAGATTGCGCATGCACACAGTACCAGCAAAATACATAAATACTTCTGACCAAAAATTCACAACCGAGAAAACTATGCTCCTTTACGTTGGCTAAGGTTAAGATCTGTTTCAGGTTATATTACGTTAGATCAACTCCTTGATTGCTTATGACGGAAATATTCGTAAACAAAATGACTAAGAAAACTTATTCATTGGGTGTGAAGTGTCGTCTTTTAAGTGACCAATATTAATGACTATCTCTTTTCTAGAAAATGTCATTATTTTTTCAATCTCGTTAGAGATTGCTAGGCTAGGACTCAGTTTGGAGTCACTCAGCAGCCTAGGAGTAGACTAAACGAATTTTTAAGGATCGTGAAAAAATTCTGCCACAGCCCGGATTTGAACTGGGCTTTAATATTGGTCACTTAAAAAACAACACTTCACACCCAATGATTAAATTAATGTGGCCAAAAATTGCATAGATCTTAAAATAAGAAAACTTATTACGGAAATATCCAAACATTAAGAAAAAAGTACTTCCACTGCAGTAATTGACACGATTTAGTATATTTTAATCCCACAAAAAACACTTACGAGTAATAAACTACGCCAAGTAGAGGAGTGCCGTGAATTCCTCTAATAAAAAGTACTGAAATCATATTATTGAGGCCAAGTACGTAAGTCACTACACGTTTGCCTATTATATGATCTAGCACTGGCCTATCATTTAAATTGTATTTTCAAAATTTCCTATAATGTTTTCGCTATTCTTTCACATTACTACTGCTACCCGTAGTTGATTATGATTTAATGGTCATTTAATAATTAATAAAACTTTAGGTGATTCCTTGTCGAGTACTACTTGGTGGGTCCGTGCATTTCTTCATATAAATTTGCGTTCATTACGCCAGTCATCAAACTCAAAACCAATGTCAACTTTCTATATAGAGCATATTAATAATAACTTGTCAAAAATAATCACGGTAGAAGCTTAATAACAAACATATAGTTTTAGGACACTATTAGTATGTTCAAAGTAAGTATTTTAGAATTCCCTACTTTGGAATTCCTGGCACGGACCCGCCAAGTAGTACCTCGATAAGGAATCACCTAAAGATTGATTAATTATTAAATGACCATTAAATCATAATCAACTACGGGTAGCAGTAGTAATGTGAAAGAATAGCGAAAACATTATAGGAAATTTTGAAAATACAATTTAAATGATAGGCCAGTGCTAGATCATATAATAGGCAAACGTGTAGTGACTTACGTACTTGGCCTCAATAATATGATTTCAGTACTTTTTATTAGAGGAATTCACGGCACTCCTCTACTTGGCGTAGTTTATTACTCGTAAGTGTTTTTTGTGGGATTAAAATATACTAAATCGTGTCAATTACTGCAGTGGAAGTACTTTTTTCTTAATGTTTGGATATTTCCGTAATAAGTTTTCTTATTTTAAGATCTATGCAATTTTTGGCCACATTAATTTAATCATTGGGTGTGAAGTGTTGTTTTTCTTCCATAGTTAGTATTGTTAAATGCGTTTATTTAGTGTCTTAGGTTTGTTGTATTTAGAGTTAAGACCCCCTCCCTGCACCCTTCCCTCCCTGTCAACCTTCCTCGTAGGGCACTGGCTCGTGGACCAACAACAAACACCCGCATCGAGGACACCGTCGTGGACCTGCCACGAGGACAGCATCCCTGGATGGACCACGAGGGCGGCTACGTCGCCGAGGCAGCGGAAGGCAGGGATGGCATGGGCAGGAGGAACAGCAGACCGAGTCGCCCGTGGGATGGATGCCCCGCCACCA